TATATATATATATATATATATATATATATATATATATATATATATATATATAAAAAAATATTCCAAATCCTTGTTGATGCTTCCATTACATAGTCAAGAAAACATCTTTTTCAGTGACTGAAATGACCTTATACTTTGTTCAACTCTCTCAAACTACGCAGCCTACTTGAGAAAGACTGAGTTCTAATAAAGTATTGGATCTTGCACTGAACAATCTTTGCCACTAAGAGTTTGAATATATAGAAAAGTCTTGAGTTTTCTTGGCCAGTGAGGTACCAGTGGTATCACCTCAGTTGCTTCATCATGGTTTCTCTCCAGGGTACACAGAATGAGTAGGTACACAAAGCTGGAATTTCCATTTGGCTAATTTTGGTTTTCATGTCTTTTCCTTCCAACGAACTTCTTCATTTCTGAACTCTCTTCTGATACAATTCTACCAGGGGGTTTTCCCACAGAACCACTGTCTGGCTAAATATAATTGACGCTCCATTTCCCTTGCATCTTGGTGAACCTGCTCAGTTGGCATGTTAGACTTCCCTCAGATGTGTTTTACAATAATTCTGAAAGTCCATAGTCATTCTTAACTCTAGTATAAGTGAACTCAGAAGTTTAGGTCCAGTTCCTGTGAAAGTTCTTTCTCCCCACATTTATGAGTTTTCACTGACAGTTTCATTGTTTTAGTGGAACATAACTATCACAGGAAGTCATCATCATCATGGAGGGAGGGCCAATTTCCCAAGCAGCCTGGGCCAATCCCTTGGAGGCCTTTTAATATGAGGCCAGAGATACTGACATGGACTTTTATGTTTAATGTAGTATCAGTTCAGATAATAGTGCTATGGGGCAATCTGTTCACAGAGACCTGTATTGCTCTGTGAATAGGCTAATGGATTTATCAGCTGAAGATTTGAGGATGGATAGCATCTTCATTCCAAGATGAATCACTCTGCATCAGTAGCATGCTCATCTGACTGGAGACGCGTTGATTATGAACATGATCTTTACTTGATTCTGTGTAAAGTAAATATCATAACCACCCCGCTATTCAATGGGCGACCTGCTCTGGTAACACAGCATCCTTCCTGAAATTCAGACGTGGGATTAGTCCTTTAGAACAAGTGAATCCTGGCATGCAGAATCATTATCACCGCTTTCCTTTGATTGAACCCTGATTGAAAAACTGGAGGACCGGCATTGGTAATAGCTTTCTTCAGTCTTTGTATTCTCTAATGAAAGAAAGGCTCTTCCACTCCATGAATCTCCCAGCTAGGTGAGACTGATTTACTTACCCATATTGATACAAATAATATAATAGAGTAAGTAGGATTGTATCACCATGGGTAAGAAACCTTCCCTAGCAAATGGAAAGGATCCTAATAGTTGTGAACAAAAACTTTCAAACATGAATAAGTTGTAAATTGCAGCACTGAAACATTCTGAATCTATAAAAATCTCTGATTTAAGGCCTAAATCCTAGCCTCAGTGCACAATCGACCAAGCTGTGCATCTTTCTGGCTCTGTTTCACCCAACTTGTGGCTGCCTGGTTGTTGACTGGATTGAGAAAACTTACAAAATATGACTTTCTTCTGCGCCTCCACAGTTGTCTATCTTGGTGACGTGCTAAGATTCTGCATTTTCTGAACATCTGTTTCTCCATATGCTTGGTAATGGCTCTCACCTTAAACTTAGCTGACACCATGAGCAATTTTGAGGATATTTGCATTCCATGTGTGCATCCTGTGACTGATGTCATAAGCCTTTGCAGAAAAATTTTACTTAGTCTACATCTTATGTGACTTTACTTAGTCTTATCTTTGTGTCTGAGTTGCTCTATCACATCAGGACATGAAGTCTACTTCAAGTGTATGGCAACTTAACATCACTGGCATCTGCAGATGATGTTTCTAAGTACTGAGACTTCCTTCAGCCTGTTCTTTCAAAAAGAAATACAAGTTTGAGAGGCTTACAATACCTTCAGACAGAGAAGCAATAGCTGTATCCAGTTTAGGTAGCTGGAAAGTTTGCCTTTAGGGACTATAAACACTTCCTGCTCTGCCTGCTGATGGGTTCACTACCCTCCCTGCAGCCCTAATAAGTTTTCCAATATAGAAATGACAGCAAATCAAATATTCTTGTCTCAGATTGGTTGGGTAATATATGCTTTGCCTTTTATTTAGAGTTTCTTTTTGGGATCATTAATTGAAGTAGCTCAAAGCAGCGTTTGCTTAGCATAATCTTATTTTTCGGGTTGCAACAGGATCATTTCCACAGATACCTCTTTTACCCTTAGAATCCCACCCTTTATTTGAGCATGTGTAAGAGGTCTCCATAGATCGGGGGTCAGCAACCTTTGGCACGCGTCCCGCCAGGGTAAGCACCCCGGCGGGCCAGGCCAGTTTGTTTACCTGCCGTGTCTGCAGGTTCGACCGATCGTGGCTCCCACTGGCCATGGTGTGCCGCTCCAGGCCAATGGGGGCGGCAGGAAGCGGTGCGGGCCAAAGGATGTGCTGGCCGCCACTTCCCGCCACCCCCATTAGCCAGTGGAAGCCGCAATTGGCCGAACCTGCAGACGCGGCAGGTAAACAAACCGGCCCGGCCCGCCACAGGGCCTACTTGGTGAGCCGCGTGCCAAAGGTTGCCGACCCCTGCCATAGATTCTCAGATAATGACCTTAAGTAGTTGCTGTTCACTTCACTAGGTTGTGCACAATTCCCCCATGTGAGGTAGAAAATGCAGATGAACCTCAAACTTGCTCTTGACCTCCTTGGATTTTTCAAGAGATTTAGGCATACATGTTTTCATTAAGTCACAGCATCACTACAAAATGCTCACACTGAGAAAAAGTAAAACTTCCTTTGGAAAAGAGCCTTACTTGAAGCTAGTTTTTACATATATACAAATTTGATGCTATTTCCTCGGATGGCTGATAGCCACTTGTCTCATAGTTATTAAAAACTAGTGCTAAATAGGCAGAAGAGTGAGAGAAAGTTCTTGCAGCCTCTGCCTTGAAAAACAGAAGAAAAACTTATATTAGAAAATAAGGGGCAGGCAGGCCCCCTTCAGTGACACTGCCATGGATTGAGAGTTCAGTCCCAGTAAAGTGTAAGAATGTACACAAGCTTCTACAGGGATCTGCAAAAAGGATTTAATAGGGGAAACTTTTAAAAACATTACAGACCAAAGTATAAACAGACAAATGCCAGGAAATTTACAGATCAAGAGCTCTTTCTTCAGCCCTGATTAATTCTATCATCCCTTTTTATTGCCTGGGTCTCAGAACACCAGGCTCTCTCACACACTGCAGTAAGCAATTTTCAAATTGCTAAGTAATGTAGTTACATTCATAGATGCCCCAACTGATGATGGTAAAAATCAGGAGTGTTGAGACACTCAATACAGCAATATTTTTAAAGCACACAGTGAATTTTGTTATAAATGCAAAGTATGTTTATTGAAAATGAAATAAAGGAATACCATGAAATTCAGAGTTGTATCTGCCGGTTACAGACTCCTGTAATGGCACTTTAAAGAAAAACAACTTCAAAAAATTTAGGATGATGAATTTTAAAAACAATGTATTAATAGACTACAAATTATACATCCTAATTTTTCAATATTCTTCTAATACAACTGTAGGAGGATTTTTCAGCTGCCCTATTTATGTTTCTACGGGTCTTTTCAGTTAGTCAGTTTCCTCCTACTGATTATAAACAAAAGGCATACAAAACTAAAATAAGATTTTTTTTCTAATTTCTTGAATTTTAGTTCTTAGCTGTAACAATAATTTTAGCTCTTAGATGTAACTATTCAGATAAATATGATTTTCAAACTGAATGTAACCCTTCAAACCAATTTTAAGTTTACTTTACGTAACTATTTTGCATTTATTTCAGTTGGTGTGTTTTTAAAACAGTGAAACATATATTCTTCCAGCTTTCATATAAAACCTTTGCCAGCTAAGGGGGTCAATGAGGGCTTGATGACATTGCCAACATAAGACACAACCATCTTCCCTAAACTACCGTCATGAGAAAATTAATGCCAAACGATGACAACTATAGACCATATTATTACAGTAATTTGCACAGAATGAATTGGGAGACCCATTGTGTATTACTGAATTTTGTGAATAAGAACAATTAAAAAAACAAAGATAACGCATCACCAAGTTTATTGTTTCCTTATCTTGACAATTATGGCTTTAATTATAATATTTTGCAGTAACTTGGGAAAAGTAATATTTTGAAAATATAATCTAATCTTTTTAAATTAAGAACTCACTGAAGCATCTCCTATAAGAGCTTTGCTGAGATGTTACCAACTTTTTTAAAAAGCCCTCAAATTATGACATGTACATTTTAGTGAAGTACAGATTCACAACTTGCAACTGTAAAAGTACACCTCTACCCCGATATAATGCTGTCCCCGTTATAGGTGAAACCGCATTATATTGAACTTGCTTTGATCCGCCGGAGCGCTACTTTACGGTGTTATATCCGAATTCGTATTATATCGGGTCACGTTATATCAGAGTAGATGTGTAGTAAGGGTAGGTGAAGGTGCTTTTACCTTTCCCTACCAATCCCCAATGTTTATTTTGATTCCTCACCTCTTTCTCTGGAGGCCTGCTGCTCCTCCTCCTCCGTGGGTTGTGAAGGATCATAATAATCACTGCCATAACTGAATCCCACGGCATTATAGGTACCATCTTCCGCTAAAGCTTCACTCAGTCTCTTATATTCTTCCTCTTGAAGAAAAATGAAAATTCTAATTACGACTATGAAATATAATTAATCTACACTATTTCTAAAAAAAACAAAAAAAACCACTATACCAATGTTTTCAACCTAACTTTTAGATAAAAATTGTGTTCTTCACACTTTAGGCATAGTAATTTTTGCCAGCAAGTTTGTGAAAACCAAAGATAGCAGAATGCATGTGCCTTTTGTTGATCATTTCCTCCTGCTGAGATAAAGATTTTTGTGGTTATACAGTCTAAGATAATTAAGGAAAATGCAAGAACGTTCAGTTATACAATACTGTTAAAGAAGAACAGTTAAAAGGATGGTGGGGGGTGTTTTGTTTTTTCAAATCCCAGCCTGCCCTCAAAATCTGGGCAATTTCTGTGTGGATCTATATATAAACTATCCTGAGGTCCTCTCAGACAGGCAAAGACTCCTGTTTTTCGAATCCACTGGGTACTGTCAAGATAATATCAGAAAGAATGAGTATAAAATGAGTGGGAGTAAATTTAATGTTTTAATTATTTAAATTTAATTAAATGTGTTCTAACTCAGGAAAGTTTCCTTGAGCAATACCTTGCCTCGCCTCCTCCTCAAGCAAGTCCGTATGCAAGGCTAAATACCTCTCTTCATCACAGAGGGCATCTATTCTAGCCTCCTCTTCAGACAATTGATAATCTCTGTTCCATGTGGAATATTCAGCGTCATATTCAGAGAGGTCATGGAGGTGACCACGTCCATCATACCTGCAAGATGAAAAAGCTGGTCAATGCAGAAAACTTAGGGTTTGGGTTTGTGTGACTACTTAAAAATACTTACCCATTAAAATGAAAAAATACTAATGTTAAAACGTGACTCATTTTAGAAGTTACATTTAATTTTGCTACTCATTTCACACCAACTATCAAAATGAAATATTTTAATAGTCTAAATTCCTCTTTAACAGAATAATAAAAAGAGTACAATTAAAGGCAAAAGTATCCTTTAATAGTTTAAATGGGATTCATTTCCTTAATAGTTCTTACCGTTTATGGTTCAACCAACCATTCAATGTCACTTGCAAAATACTTTTTCTGGAAAGTCAAATAGCTTACATTCACACAAACCCGAATACATAAATACCTATCCGTAAGAACCAAACGGTCGAAATTTTCTCGCTTCTTTCTGCTAGTCCCGAACTCTCAGGAGAGATCTTCACCAAAGAAACTTGCGTCCATTGGAGGTAAAATCATGGCTAGGCTCGGCCCCTAGCCATTTGGCTGAGGAAATAAGTTCTGGGTTATGTGATAGAGAGACAAACATACATAGGAACAGTAACATATACATGCAATTTAAGGAGGTTCACCATAAAAATGGCACCAATAACCAACAATGTGATTTCATCTCCTAAGCAGAAATGTGTGCAGAAAAAGTGCCGCATTAAGATAACGTTTGACATATTTCTCCTTTACGTAGCAATATTAGAAACCAATAGATAATAAAGAGATCGTAAACTTCACTCCGCTGGTTAGTCTTCACACACACAATTCTTGACTGAGCCATCTTGCTAAATCAAAAACAAAGGAAGTACATATAACTAATAGAAAACGTTATTGAGATATGTTGGTCTTGTTAACCAAGGTGTTTATCCACAGGCAAATTTCTGCCCCAGTCTTCCCACAGTAATAGGCTTTCTTCAACTGGGGGAAAAGATTTCATGCTGTTGGGGATAAAAATCTGAATTTCCAAAGGAGCTGATAAGGTTAGTGCATAATGTTTCATCTTTTGTTCATAAATGCAAACCTCCTTAACTTACAAATGTAGATTGTTATTGGTTTTAAATGTTATGTATATATACACATGCACATACTTAGAGTTTGCTCCCAACAATTTCTGCAGCTGTTCTATCTCAGGCCATTGCTATATGAAACCACAACAGCCTTAATTCACACCATGGAACTGGCTAATGAAATTTCTCATCACAAAAATAAACTACTGTACCATTAGATGAGAGGCCCCATCACTAAGCTTAAACTTCCATATTAACAATAACATACAACTATAAGAATACACACTGATTAATTTCTGTTCTGTTTTCCAATTTAGATGTTTGACTTCAATCAGTGAAATCATAAATGGGAAAGACCTGTTAGGTTAACTACTCCAAACAAGGCATCATGAATCTTTTCTGCCCAGTCCAGTCTCACATAATGGGGTTCCAACCACTTCCCTTCAGTGAATATTTATTCCAATCAAGTAAATGTGGTTGTGAACCTAGGACCTGGAAATCACATGTAACCACTGAAAGAGGCCTAATGAAGTGGGATTGAGGGAGCAAATGCCTACAGTATGTGATGTGATCCTTTTCAAACCAAAGCCCTTCAGGTTTTCCCACTTGAGTCTTCAGGTACAACCACAACTGCTTAAAGCACTGTGCTTTTCAAGCCCCCACAAAATACTCCTGACCTGATTCTGCATCCCCCCTCTCAAGAACCACTGAAAAGCAGGTTTTGAACTAATTCATTCCTCCATCTGATACTGAGTTGCTGAATCTGGAAGGGGGGTGGGGGAGAATCAAATAACCAGATCCTGTTAATCCCTCAGACTATGAGCTGCTAACAATCACATAAACAACCAAAAACGCAACTTTTTTTAGTTGAGATTAGAAATCTGAAATTCCTGGGAAGGAAAGCTAATTGGCCTAACTGCCACAACTCATGGCATGACAAGGGAGCAATCAGGCCAGGGAATCCCATCAGCACTTTAGGGTCTAAATTAAATGGAAAAATTCAACTCAGCCTAATTTCCCTCTCTGTGCAAATAACCTCTCCCACTTCTTGCTTATGAACCCCACTATTTAAGTTTCTAATTTAGCATTCCCTTATAGCAAGAGTCCCCCTTGTTTTGAGGTGAAAAGCTGCTTGGGGTTTGATTTGAAAAGGAGCAGATTATCCCCACCCCTCCCCACATACACCCACCCTGCCAGGGGGAGGGGGCCCCAATAAATACCATCTGCCAGAGGAAGGGGAGAGACTCCTAATCCTGCCAGAGAAGGGGACTCCCATACTCCCCGCCAGAGGAATGGGTTCCCCAGCATCGCCACGGGGACACCCAACCCACTGCCAGGGAGAAGGGCCTCCCCTTAACGCTGCCAGAGACGAAGCACTCCCCCACTCCTCCTGCCAGAGGGAGGCCCCCACGCCCCCCGCAGCACTGGGGGAAGGGCAGAAAGAGGCTATCACAGGAGATCTCGCAGCAGAGGCAGGGGGTTGGGTTGCACCGACCTATCGATCATGATCTTGGGGTCTCCCATCCAGGGAATGAGATGCCGGCCCTGCTCCTGGTATTGGGCCTTCTCGTCGTCCCGGAACAGCTTGCAGGCATAGCCGAACACCAGCAGCTCCACGCGGCTGCCCCCACCGCCTCCTCCGGGGGGCCCCTGGGCCGCGCCCCCGCCGGACAACAACATCAGCGGCGGCGGCCCTGCCTCCTCCACAGTCCGGCGAGGCCCGCCAGCGCCTCCGTACATCACGGGAGGGTGCGAGGGGAAGGCAGGGAGCGCGCTAACAGCGAACGAAGCGAGTCACCCCGGCCACTAAACCCCCCACCTCCATAACGCTGCGGTCGCCATCGCCCGAGACAAAATGGTGGCCGTTCCGCTTCCGGTCACAGGCGGGGTAAACAAACGTCTGGCTTCCGGTAAACAGCAGATTCGTCATAACTCAACAAGCGATGGATTAATCTTGCTGCGTGCCCTGGGGCCGAGTGTGGGGAGATGCTGCCAGGCAGCTGGCCCGGGAACAAATGGAGCAAGGCAGGGTAGCTATGACATGAGAGTGGCGAAACTGTCCACGGGAACTGCGGGGCTGGGCCGCGGGAGAGTAGAGCGAAGGGAGGGGAGTTGGAGAGAGGGGTCGGTGGGGAGGGGAGCAGACGGGGCTATGCAGGGACATTAGAGGGAGCGATGGGTGGGGGCAGACAGGGCCATGGAGGAAGAGGCATCAGAGGGAGCAGTGGGGGGCAGGTGGAGGCTATGGGGAGGGGCATCAGAAAGGGGTGGGGGGCAGGTGGGAGCTATGGGGAGGGGCACCAGAGGGAATGGTGGGAGGGGTCAGGGGCAAAAGGGTTATGGAGAGCACCATCAGAGGGAGCTGGGGAGGGCAGTGGCAATGAGGGAGACAGGTGAGGACTCTGGGGAGAGCATCAGAGGGAGTGGTGAGGGGCTCTGGCAGTGGGGGGGCAGGTAGGGGCCGTGGCGGGGCATCAGAGGTAGCTGTGGGGGGTGGGGACAGTGGCATTGGTGGCTATGGGGGGCTTCAGAGAGAGCTGAGGGAGGCAGTGGCAATGAGAGAGACAAGTGAGGGCTCTGTGGGGGCATCAGAGGGAGCAGTGGGAGGACCAGTGACAGTGTGGGGGCAGCCGGGGCCATCGTGATAGAGGGGATGGGGCACATTGAGTGCTGGATCCCTGGACACAGACAGGCGAGGGTGCAGTGGCGGTTGGGAGGAAGCTATTTCCCTGTCGCAGAGCAGGGCCCGGGTTCCACTGTTTCTGGAGCATGTATGATGCCTAGAGACTCCATGATCAAGCTGCTGGGGAAATTGCAAAGTCCAGCACTCAATAGTTAGGAAATGCCAGGGGTTGCCTGTGAAGCCTGTTTGTCCTTGTTCCTGCCCCAGCCCTGATACCTGTCTCTTCCGTCTGCCCCCCTTACACCAGTTTGTCCCTGTCACAGCACAGTCCTGTCTCTTCCCACCCATGTCCTCATCATTGTCCCATTCTCTGTCTGATCTCAGGCTCCTTGTCCCAATCTTCCTCCTCCATGCTGCCTGGGCTGAGTCCATGGGAACACATTGAAATCCCAGGACAGAGAGTTTCTGTGGTCTCAATTACTGTGCATAGCAGGGAATACCAACTTCAGCAAAAGTATTGCTCAGTCTTGTATCCCTGAGCAGGGTCATGGTTAGTGTAGATGGAGACTTCAGAAAATGTAGATGCCAAATTCTAATACGTTTCTATTGAGCATGTTTTAACTGAGATATTTTTCAAAGGTTTGTAACTTGCCCAAATTTGGGTGCATTTTCTTGGATACACCACAAGGCATCCTGACTAGGGTTGCCAGGTGTCTGATTTGCGACCGGATCACCTGGTCAAAAAGGGACTCTGGTGGTTCCAGTCAGCATTGCTGACCGGGCTGTTAAAAGGCCAGTTGGTGGCACAGCAGGGCAGGTAGGCAGGCTCCGTGCACGGCCCCGGGAATGCGGACAGCATATCAGGCTCCTAGCTGGCAGGGCGGACAGGGAGGCTTCATGTGCTGCCCCTGCCTGCAGGCACTGCCCTGAGGGCCAGCTCCGCAGTTCCCATTGGCTGGGAACCTTGGCCTGCGGGCAGAGCCCTTGGCTGCTCCTCCGCCTAGAAGCCAGAGGGGCATGTCACCACTTCCCGGCAGCCGCCTGAAGTCAGCGCCGCCCAGAGCCTGCACTTCTCACCACTTCCTGTCCCCCAATCCCCTGAGCCCGCTTCCACACCTTGAACCCCTCATTTTTGGCCCCAGCCCAGAGCCCACACCCCCTCCTACACCTCAACCCCTGGCCCCAGCCCTGAGCCCCCCTCCTGCACACCAAACCCCTCGGCCCCAGCCCGGAACCCTCTCCTACACCCCAAACCCCTCATCCCTGGCCTGCACCATCATCTGGAGCCCTCCCCCTCTCCCACACCCCAACCCCTGCCCCAGCCCGGAGCCTTCTCCTGCACCACAAATCCTTCATCCCTGTCCCTACCCCAGAACCCTCACGCCTCCTAACCCCCTACCCCAGCCCGGTGAAAAGGAGCGAGTAAGCAAGGGTGGGGAAGACCAACGGAAGGGGAGGGGATGAAGTGAGTGGGGGGCAGGGCCTCTGGGCGGGGGGGGGGGGCAGGGCAAGGGTGTTCAGTTTTCTGCAATTAGAAAGTTGGCAGCCCTAACCCTGACACCAGAGCAATCCAGCCTGCCAAATTTCAAGTCCTTGCACCAAAGCATGTAGGCACTAGAGCTTCTCAATGAAACAGTTATAAGAATTATTTTAGCATGGAGAAAACAATGTGTTTTTCCTTAATCTCATTTGTGGAAACAATTGAACTATTTTTGTTGAAACTTTCAAAAAAATCACCTGAAGTAGATACTCAAAATGGAAAATTTCACTCCCAATGATTAAATTTTGGTAAAGTTATGTCCTATAATGGGAAGTGTCAGGCAAACTTAATTATAGACAGTGCTACCAGTTCTGCCATAAGGACAACTCATTGGCTTCCTTGTACTTACTGTAGCTAAAGGATTTAATACATTGTTTAAAGATTATGTGGTGCACAAATATTGACACAGAGTGGAGTAGGGCTGCATCTCTGAGCATGAAGAAAGCCTGCCAAAATGTGAATTTACTTAAGGAGAAATCTAGAAAATCCCTTGGGCACTTCATCTGCTTCTGTAGCCGTGAAATTGAATAATAATATATTGTGTTTCTATAGTGCCTTTCAAAGTGCACTACAAAACCTAATTAAGCTTCACAATCCTCAATTTAGTTAAGTAAGACGCACATATAATTTTATATACACATATAATTTCACCCACCACTGAAAAGCAGTCACATGGTCAAGTGAGCAGTCAGTCAAATTCCTCCTAACAGGAGCAGGTAGACAAGGATTTACTAGAATTGCTGTCGCCATCCTTAGCCTTGCAGTCGAGGGTCTTTAGGTGTTCGATGTGCTCTCTGCACTGGACACCAGTCAGGTTGATTCCCACCTCTGCCAGCCTCTTAGAGAAGTTCTCAGACACGTGAGGATTTTGGATGCTTTTCTCAAAATCATTTTCTTTACATGATTCACACTAGTGGTTATCCAGATCCCTGGGGTGCTCCTCTGGCCAGATAGTAGGGCACTGGAAAGGCATCTTCTAGGGTACATCTACACTGTCCACTCTTTGCGCCCACTGCTCTACCTAGCATGGGTTTATATAGCAGTGCAGATGGTAAGTTTAGATGAGTAGAATGAAGTCATGCCTGAACCCTGTGGGTATGTACCCTACATGCTTCTCTACATGCCCAAGCAGTGCATCTCCTAGCTACACTGCTATTTTTAGAAGTGTTGTGTGTCCTGCTACTGAAGCCTTTCCCCATTGCAGGGAAAGACTCCAGCAGTGGGAGAAGTCTCTGGCATGGGAAGACAGAGAGGAAAGGCTCTGGCAGCTCCCCATGGTGGTTGCCATGTGCTATGATGGAACATAGCTAGCAGAAGCTATTTGTTGACATCTACACCATTCATGACTAGTTTACCCTGCAAACTTAAAGCATTGGTTAAACATTTTAGCCTCATAGTAAGTGTATGGCAGAACCAGGAAATAATGAACAACTAAGGCAATTTTCTGAGGGCCAATATGTGGGATCCATCCATCTGACCCTTGCTCTGCAGAAAGAGGGATCAGTGGCCTCTGTAACGCCATCCCATTTCATTCTGATCCGGAAGAGGGTGTTAACTTAGTGTCTGAGAACCTCACAATCGTTAAGATATTTCTCCTTACAACACTGTTATGAGTTAGGAAAGTACTGTTACCCCCATTTTACAAATGGGGGATCGAGGCACAGAGAGACTAAGGGCTTGGTTCGGAAAGGGGACTTACATGTGTCAATGCCTAGCTCCTAGGTGACCTGCCATCCAGTGGAATTCACAGTCCTGAGTTAGGCACCCGGGCTCCCCATACAATTCACAGAGATCATCAGGGACCTGAGAAAGGGTCACAGAAATCTGAGTTGGAAGCCAGCTAAGCTAGCCAGAACTATTGTGCAGAGGAAAGGGGCAGGGCTTAGGTCCCTGATCAGGGAAAGTACTTGGGAACCTGCTATCTCTGCTCAGAATTCACAGCCAGGAACCCTCTCCTGGAGTGAGGCAGATAAGCCAGGTCAGCCCTTCCTCATGCAAAACAAGAGAGAGACATACCCACCCCATTTTAGCCAATAGTCCAATGGTTAGAGCACTCCCAGGGGAGGTGGAAGACCTGTTTTCCAATCCCCACTCTGCCTGCTTTGGAGCAGAGACTTGAATCCACTTCTCCCAGGTGAGTGCCTAAACCACCAGACTACCAGGTATTCTGGGGTGGGTCTTCTTCAGTCTCTCCTGCTCCAGTTGTTCCACTCTGTATACTAATTAAATATTCATTGGGTGAGAAAGAGAGAGAGTGTCTCTATAGCCTGATGGGCAGGGTCCTCCCCTAGGCTATGGGAGAGTCAGGCCAAG